TAAAGCACCACAAGCCCGAATATCGCACGTCCGCCTGGATGCGCCCGTATCTCGGTTTAGCCGGGGAGGGAGTTGCAGACGCTCCGTTGCTGAAGGGATGGTTTGCTCTGGACTGTGAGGAGGGAAAGGGTTTGTTCCTGGTTTTGAGGAGGAAAATTATTTATTGTTGCGTTTTAATGAGGAAAAGGGTTTATTCTGGGGAGTTCTGATCAGGAAAGGGGGGTTTGACGAGGAAAAGCGATCATTCTGGGGGTTTTGATGAGGGAAGGGGTTTGTTCTTGGAGTTTTGATGAGGAAAAATGTTTATTTTTAGAGTATGACGAGGAAAAGGGTTCATTCTTGGGGTTTCAATGAGGAAAAAGGTTTATTCTTGAGGGTTTTGATGAGGAAAGGGGCTTATTCTTGGGGGTTTGGCAAGGAAAAGGGTTTATTCTTGGGGGTTTTGACGAGGAAAAGTGTTCATTCTGGTGGTTTTGATGACGGAAAGATTCTTGTGGTTTTGATGAGGAAAAAGGTTGATTCTTGGGGTTTTTGACAAGGAAAAGTGTTCATTCTGGGGGTTTTGACGAGGAAAAAGGTTTATTCTTGGGAGTTTGATGAGGAAAAGGGTTGATTCTTGGGGGTTTTGACGAGGAAAAGTGCATTCTTGGGCTTCTGATGAGGAAAAAGGGTTTATTCTTGGGGGTTTGACAAGAAAAAGGGTTTATTCTTGGGGGTTTTGACGAGGAAAAGCATTCATTCTGCAGGTTTTGATGAGGAAAAGGGGTTATTGATGAGGAAAAAGGTTTATTCATGGGAGTTTTGACGAGGAAAGGGGTTTATTCTTGGGGTTTTGATGAGGAAAAATGTTCATTCTTAGGAGTTTGACAAGGAAAAGAGTTCATTCTTGAGGGTTTTGATGACAAAAGGGGTTTATTCTTGGGGCTTTGACAAGGAAAAGAGTTCATTCTGGGGCTTCTGATGAGGAAAAAGGTTTATCTTGGGGGTTTTGATGAGGAAAAGGGTTTATCTTGGGGGTTTTGATGAGGAAAAGGGTTTACCTTGGGGGCTTTGATGAGGAAAAGGGTTTATCTTGGGGGCTTTGATGAGGAAAAATGTTTATTCTTAGGAGTTTCATGAGGAAAAGGGTTCATTCTTGGGTTTTTTGACAAGGAAAATGGTTTATTCATGGGGTTTTGACAGGGAAAAGGGTTTACTCTGGGTTTGCTCTTTTGCCAGCATTTGAAGCACAGTGGGATTTATTGTATTCCTTGTGGAGAGAAGGCTTTTAAAAAAAAAAAAAAAAAAAGTAAACCGAGGTCCTGAAAACAGAAGATTGAATCAGGGGGTTTGGGACACAGAATCTTATTCTTTATTTCTGTCCCTTAAAAGTCACAGAATTTTGAGCCGTTGTGCTGCCAGCAGAGTTACAAAACGTCGGCAGTGAGTTGCGTGGATGGGAAATAAGGGAACTGCTGCCCGCAATGGGATTTCTTCCGCTTCCACAACCTGCTGTCGCCTCCCAAACTGCTTATTGCGATGCAGGGGGGCTCACCCTGGCACGGCCGCCCCCGTGTACCCCTGTAGTGCCCCCTGACCTTGAGGTGATGGCCCTAAAGCACTACAGCAGCATTTGGGTCAGGTCTCCGAGCCACCTTCCCTCCCGCTAAGGTTGAAAAAAGAGAGGGAAAGGGAGATGGCTCCTGTAGGAAGCTGCCACAATGAGCCCAAACGCAAGGAAAGCTCCAGGATCTGATCAGACATCGGGTGATTTTTTCTCCAACACCAACAGCAATTTATCTTTTCCTAATAAAAATCAGCTCTCTTGATACTAATCTGCAGTGAAGTCCCCAGTAACGCTGCCCTCCTCCTTGCTGAGCTCTGTGCAGCCTTTCTGTCCCAGCTCAGCCTACCTTTTCTTCCCAGCCCACCCATTTATTTTCTTTGCGAGCAGCTGCATTGGTGCTTCCTGCCGCAATGCCCCGAGCGTGTTTCTACTTCCCTTAATTGCATCTGCTCAATTCCTCCTTTCTCCACTTCAGACTTTTAAGAAGCTTCTACTTTGTGGGCTGGATGAGTGGTCGGTGAAGTGGATAGAGAACTGGCTGAATGGCAGAACTCAGAGGGTTGTCATCAGCGGCGCTGAGTCTAGTTGGAGGCTGGTAACAAGTGGTGTCCCTCAGGGGTCAGTACTGGGCCCAGTCTTGTTTAACTTCTTCATCAACGACCTGGATGAAGAGTTAGAATGTACCCTCAGCAAGTTTGCTGACGACACCAAACTGGGAGGTGTGGTAGATACACCAGAAGGCTGTGCTGCCATTCAGCGTGACCTGGATAGGCTGGAAAGCTGGGCAGAGAGGAACCTGAAGAGGTTCAACAAGGGCAAGTGCAGGGTCCTGCACCTGGGGAGGAACAACCTCATGCACCAGTACAGGCTTGGGGTGGACCTGCTGGAGAGCAGCTCTGCGGAGAGGGACCTGGGTGTCCTGGTGGACGACAGGTTAACCATGAGCCAGCAGTGTGCCCTGGCTGCCAAGAAAGCCAATGGGATCCTGGGGTGCATCAAGAAGAGTGTGGCCAGCAGGACAAGGGAGGTTCTCCTTCCCCTCTACACTACCCTGGTGAGGCCTCATCTGGAGTACTGTGTCCAGTTCTGGGCTCCCCAGTTCAAGAAGGATGAAGAGCTACTGGAGAGAGTCCAGCGGAGGGCTACAAGGATGGTGAGGGGACTGGAGCATCTCCACTACGAGGAGAGGTTGAGGGAACTGGGCTTGTTCAGCCTGAAGAAGAGAAGGCTGCGAGGGGACCTTATAAATGCCTACAAATATCTGAAGGGTGGGTGTCAGGAGGATGGGGGCAGGAGGGTTGGACTGGGTGACCCACAGAGGTCCCTTCCAACCCCTACTATTCTGTGATTCTACTAGGTAGCCCACAGTGGAGACATCTTTTTTCTTCCTTGATTTCCTCCATGGCCTAGAAATGGGCACCTCTCTTATTTTCTCTGTATTGGCCAGGTTGGGTTCAGTCCACCTGCAGGAAGAAGTTTCTATATTCATCCCCTTTTTTATGTTGTAACAAAAAGTCTGGATCCTGGCTGGGCGTGGTATCATCAAAAGTGAGATGCAGAGGGGTAAAGTGAGTGAGAATTTAGCTTGAAGAATTTCACAAAAATATACTTCTGACTCCAGATATTTGAATTTCTTTCAATATGGTTGCTCTGAAAGATGCTGATCTTTAGTGCCTCAGCATAGTAATGCGGTAGGTGCTGTGCTTTGCGTATATTTTGACTATTAACATGCTTTAATACAACATCAAGGAGCTCTAGTCGCAGACTAAGACTCCCTTTTTAGGGAATTTTTAAAAGGCAGAATTTAGCCTTTGCCTCAGTCCTGCAAATAAGTAGGAAAAGAAAGCAGGAGGTGGAATTTAATGAGGCCATTCTGGTTGCACGGCGTCGCAGAGAACAGGACGGACGAGACGCTGCCCTGTGCAACTCCTTACTAGGAGGGTTTAGTGGAGAAGACGGAGCCAGGCTTGTCCCATGGATGCACCATGAAGGGACAAGAGGCAACAGGGACAAGCAGGAACACGGGTGACCTTGGTTAGATGGAATTTTTTGCTTTCCACCGTGAGGGTGATGAAACACTGGGACAAGGCACCAGGGAGGCTGTGGGATCTCTGTCACTGGAGATGCTCAAAACTCAACTGGGTGAGGCTTTGAGCAACCTGCTTTGAGCGTGGGGTTGGGCTCAAGACCTCTTCCAACCTGAATTCTTCTGCGATATCATGCATGTATCTTTACTGGCGTGACTATTAGGGGACCTAATATATACGTACAAATATCTGCAGGGTGGGTGTCAGGAGGATGGGGCCACGCTCTTTTCAGTAGTGCCCAGCAACAGGACGAGGGGCAATGGGCACAAACTGAAGCACAGGAAGTTCTGTCTGAACCCGAGGAAGAACTTCTTCCCTCTGAGGGTAACGGAGCCCTGGAACAGGCTCCCCAGGGAGGTTGTGGAGTCTCCTTCTCTGGAGGTATTCAGGACCCGCCTGGACAAGGTCCTGTGCAGCCTGCTGTAGGTGACCCTGCTTGGGCGGGGGGGTTGGACTAGATGACCCACAGAGGTCCCTTCCAACCCCTACCATTCTGTGATTCTGTGACTCTGTCCTTTCTCACAACCCAGGGGAATGACGATGACCAGCCTCCTGCCTTCAGCAGGGGACGGAAACTGCTATTACATCCTGACAGAAGACTGCGCCTATGGCAGCAAGTACTTCGAAGCTGGGAACATGTGCTTCTGCAGCGAGAGAAGTTACCTGCGCAACTTCTCCGATGACAGGCCCCCGGCTTGCTTCTTGAAAGTCATCATGCTGGATGACAGCTCCACCGTCACCATAAACATAGAAATCCTTCAGCCTGTGCGCGAGGAGACGGCTGTCTTTCTCCTGCCCAGCAGCAGCGAACTACTTCTTGGAGAGGCTGAGCCTTGAAGCAGCTCTGCGGGCCGTGCCAGGCCAAAAAGTAATGGTGGAAGTCGACCGGCAATATTTCCCTGGCACCATCCGCTACATCGGGAGCATTTACAAAAACACTTCGTCTGTGCTGTCTCCGTTTTTCTTCGGGGTGGAGTTACAGGTAAAGTGGCCTAGAAAGTAAGTTGCTTGTTTTCCTTTAATGTTTCTGTACGTAAAGCACCTTTCTGGCATGTTTTCAGGGCGAGGGTGAAAACAGAGGGCGCAGCGATGGATCGTATCACGGCACGGAGTATTTCAAGTGTAAGCGGAACAGCGGGGTCTTCCTGCCGTTTAGCAGAGTCCAGTTTACTCCCACGCCAGACGATGACTATGTGAAACAGAAGCCAAAACTGGACACGGAGGAGGTGGTTCCTGTGAAAGTGGGAGATGCGGTTAGCTTCTACGTGGAGGAGGTCCTCACAAAAGGAATAGCTATGGCTGTTTACCGGGAGGGAACCCAATGGTTCGTTAAAGTTTGTCCGGTAAGAGCAGCCTCGCTGCCTTTTCTTGGGTTTTTTTGGGGATTTTTTAAAAACTATGTTATGGTGGGACATGAAAGAGAAGTGGAAAGAACATCCGAAAGGGATGTGAGGTTGCATGCTTGTTTAACATCTTTATCAATGATCTGGTTGAGGGGATTGAGTGCTCCCTCAGTCAGTTTGCAGGTGACACCAAGTTGGGTGGGAGTGTCAATCTGCTTAAGGGCAGGAAGGCTCTGCAGAGGGATCTGGACAGTCTGGATCGATGGGCCAAAGCCAACTGTAGGAGTTTCAACAAGGCCATGTGCCGGGTCCTGCACTTCAGTCACAACACCACGCAATGCTACAGACTTGGGGAAGAATGGCTGGAAAGCTGCCTGGTGGAAAAGGATCTTGGGGTGTTGGTTGACAGCCGGCTGAACAGGAGCCAGCAGTGTGCCCAGGGAAGAGCAACGAAGATGGTGAAGGGTCTGGAGAACAAGTCTTACGAGGAGCAGCTGAGGGAGCTGGGGCTGTTTAGTCTGGAGGAGAGGAGGCTGAGGGGGGACATTATTGCTCTCTACAACTACCTGACAGGAGGTTGTAGTGAGACAGGTGTTGGTCTCTTCTCCCAAGTGATAGAACGAGAGGCAATGGCCTCAAGTTGCATCAGGGGAGGTTTAAATTAGACATTGGGAAAAATTTCTTTACTGCAAGAGTGGTCAGACATTGGAATAGGTTGCCCAGGGAGGTGGTGGATTCACCATCCCTGGAGGGGTTCAAAAAAAGTGTAAATATGGCACTTCGGGATATGGTTTAGCAGGCTTGGTGGTGTTGGGTTGACGGTTGGACTTGTTGATCTTAGAGGTCTTTTCCAACCTATGATTCTGTGATTCTATGCCAACTTTCCAGGCCTGTTTGAAAAATTGGTTCATATTCCAGGAATTCCTTATGTTTGATAAAGCATTTAGTTGACAGATTTTTCTCTCCTTTCAGGAAGAAGAAGGAACAACTGACATTTTCAGAGAAATCCCTATGGACTCTGTCGTAAAGGAAAGCTTGCAAAGTAGGTTATCAACAGATGTGTCTGCCCTGTGTACCTTCTTGGGGATTTAGCAGTTAGTTCTTCTCTGCAGGCTGCTGATGAGCTGAAATTCCACCAAAAGCTTCAGCTAGTCCCAACATAGTTGATCAGGAGGCAGAGAAGGTCTGTGGAAAAGGCTCAAGTTCTGGATGAAATCCTTTGCATGAGGCAGCTAAAGCTGAGTCTACCCATTTGTCTGGATGAAGAAGAGAGTCTGATTGCAGTGCAGAAATATTTCCTGGGGGAGGAGGCACCACTGGTTAAAGAGTCTTTAATTTAGCTGTAGGAGATGAAGCAGGAGCCTCATCCTGATGCCAGACAGACTCGGAAAGGCACAGATGCCAGCGGCGATGTTGTGAGTCATTGGACAAGAGAAGAAATTAGTGGAACCTCTCTATTACCGTCAGAAGACAAGGTGCAGGGCCAGCCTGAGGAGAACCATCATTAGACTCTTCACTGAGCTGATTTACCTCGCTAAAGGCAGAAAAAGAATTTGGAAATAACCCCCCTCCCGCCGTTTCAGTAGTCCGAAATGGCTCTGCGAAGGGCTGGATTAGCTCCAGAGCCAGCGAGAGGCTGGGGCGTTGCAGCCTTGAGCGGGGAAACAAAGAGCAGGATCGTCCCCTTTCAGCCTGTTAGACCAGCTTGGCCATATCACTGGGAATTACACCTTGTGGCGCTGGTGCTCAGCTTCACGCTTGTTCCTGTGGTCTGTAATTTCAAAAGAGACCTGGCATTAGGTGAGAGCCAGAGATGTCTGTCATTAGGCGTTGACTTCCTACCTCACCTGATATTTTGCATTGCCCACTAGGTTTATTTTCACCGTTCGAGTCCGACATGGGCTTGGGACACCCAAACCAGATGAAACGAGAGATAAGCGAGAGTGGTGAGGAGTGTGAAAGTGGGAATTCATCCCTGGAGGTGAACTCCATGGTCCAGATCACCTTGGACAAGGGAAATCAGGTTTCAGGAATCATCCGCTGGTTGGGCTACCTGCCCCAGATTAAGCACAAAATGGCAGGAGTTGAACTGGTAAGGAGCAAAATATTTCCTGTTGTGAGATTGTGTATCAGAACGGGCAGATCTTGCTTGCTGAAGACCTTCAGCTTGTGGCTGGGTATCTTGCAGCTTGTCCCGGGCCTCTGACGTGTCAGAGTGTGAACTGTGAGGGCAAGCACACAATTGTGCCCTCCCTTAGGCTGGGGAGGAGAGCCTATGGAATGATTACAGGGGTTGGTTTGCTCTCTTCTACAGCAGTGATACTGGAATGTGGGACGGAATAGTCATGAATTCTACGAGTGGCATGAATAGGTTCAAAACCTAACCAGAATATATGAAAACAATCAAGAAAACGGGATGAAACTTGTACACAGCTCTTAAGATATTAAATGGCCATATGGGGGATCGCACCTTGCTCGTGGAAGGCCTGCTCTCACGTTATTCCTCAATGCTCTTTTCCTAGGATGAAGATAAGGGGGTCACTGCTGGCGAATGGCTGGGAAAGTTCTACTTCCGCTGCGCTCCAAAGCGCGGCCTCTTCGTGAAGCTGCAGTCCTGCCAGCCCGACGTTCGCTTCCAGTGCTCGCACAACAGCGATTTGAACCTCGTGGATTACGGTGAGTCCTCTGGGGAGAGGGGAGACGGGGCTGTGCTGGGACAAGGCACTCTGCGGAGAAGCCTCATGCGCAGCGTCCTAACTGGTGGTTTAATATTCTTCGCTTTCTTTGAGCGTTCCAAAAGATGCTCTAAAAATGAGGCCTCGGTGGCATGGATGTGTTGGAGAAGGGGAAGCTGGCAGGAAAAGTTGGTGGGTAACAGAGGGTAGAATTCCAGAGCAGCAGTCTTTGCAAGGTGTTGTGAATGCTGCAAGCAAGACAGGGCTCTTCTGCCTCTGGTTTTCAGGGCAGGAGAAAAGGTCTTGTGTAACTCAGACCTGAATACGGACAAGTGTTTTAGCTGTAGAGCCTGGCCTAGCTACTGTATGTGAAACGTAGACCACACACGTGGCTCTGGAGAAGTGGAGTGGGTAACTCAGGCCCACGGCCAAGATGTCAGGTGATCACAGTGTTGCACCTGGGGACTGAGAAATAAGAGAGAGCTTGGAAAGGGAGAGAGGATGAAATCAATTTTAACGTAGAGCTTGATGTGATGAGAAGACATTCACAAGAAGATGCGGGGAAGAACAGGTCAGTATTTTCATTTGAGGAGGAAGAAGCTCACAGAATCACAGAATGTTCAGGGTTGGAAGGGAACTCTGTGGGTCATCTAGTGCAACCCCCTACCGAAGCAGGGTCACCCAGAGCAGGCTGCACAGGACCGTGTCCAGGCAGGTCTTGAATATCTCCAGAGAAGGAGACTCCACAGCCCCTCTGGGCAGCCTGGGCCAGGGCTCCGTCACCCTCAGAGGGAAGAAGTTCTTCCTCGGGTTCAGCTGGAGCTTCCTGTGCTTCAGATTGTGCCCGTTGCCCCTTGTCCTGTCACTGGGCACCACTGAAAAGAGCCTGGCCCCGTCCTCCTGACACCCACCCTTCAGATATTTATAAGCATTTATTAGGTCCCCAAAAATTCCTCCAGAGCAGAGAAGACAGTGTAAGTGTTTAGAAACTGAGACCGCTGTAACAAGAAGACAGGACTCCTGTAGGCACTGCCCAAAAACTGAGAGCAGGGACAAGGAAGAATGTCTAAAGGATGTGCTGAAGAGAGGAGGTTGAATTACAAGGGAAGGATGCTGAAGAAACCCGGAAAGACGAGACCGAGAAAGCCACCTTTGAAGCTTAAGGAGACGACAGGCCAGCGGGATGAGGCTGTTAAAGTACAGTTGCCTTTTTGTCCCCTTGCTACTGGGGTCACAGGTCTTTCAACAGAGAGACCTCCAGCTTGAATATAACACAGCACCAGTGTAGCTCTTTTTGTCTTCGTTATACTTGGCCTAACGAGGGCAGAGGCGGCATGGATTGCTGGGTCGTTATCTCTGGGGAAGAAGAGACGGTCTGGTTTTGTCTCCATTTCCAGCAGATGAATTGCTGAAGGGACAAATTTTCATCCCCTCCCAGCAGGACCAGCGGGGAAGAGCGCGGCGCTGACTTCTGAGCGGAGCAGACCTCTGGGGCGTCCGGGAAGGGCAGAGCTGACCCAGATGAGATGGGAAACTAAAGGGAGTTGCTTCTGTTCCTTCTCTTGCAGGAGGGCAGGAAGTTCTTCCACAGGCTCCAGAGAATTTTCCTCCGCTCAGGAACGAAGCAGCGGTGCATGTCCTACGAGGACGGATGAAGGGGATCCAAGGCCACTGTAATTCTTGCTATATGGACGTAGCTCTCTTCAGGTAAAGACCTGCTTGGGTGGTGCTGTTTCATTAAATGAGTGCTTTTTTAATTGGGCAAAGCCCTGAACTGCAGCGCTTCCCTGGATTTCCAAGGTGGCTGGAAATTTACCCAGTATAGAGCAGAATAGAACTGTGTGGAGATGCAGCCTCGATGCTTGCTGCTTTTCTTATCTCCTTCCTAGTCTGGTAGGTTCTCAGGCCCTGAAGTACCCCTCATGAGTACCTGAGGCACTCCTGTGTCTGTCGTGCAGGGCGGTGAGAGATCGTAGTTCTCTGGACTTGGACCGTGCTGACTCTGTCACTGGAGGTAATGGCTGGAAACATTTCAAAGCAAGCGCCCAGGAGGTCCCAGCTTCACTGTGCAGCACTGTTTGGAGAGGAAAAGACTCAGTGGTGCCCCCCATGAGCAGTTTTGGCTGCAAAGTATGAGATTTCATTCTCTCTGAGCTGTTTCCTTGCTTATTACCAGTGTTCATTAAACCAGATGTGGTTTCTCTCACCGCGGAAATGCGCTGTCACTCACCTTTCTATAATTGCATGCATGGACTGTTGAAAATAAAAGCCACCGACTGTCACCAGGCACAACAGTTTGGTTCTAACTACTGCTGCCAACCCATCAGAGTTACAAAGCATTCTCTTTTCACAGCCTCTTCTCCTGTACATCCGTGCTGGACTGCATGCTCTTCAAGCCCTTCCCACTGTGTGACCGGAACGTCCAGGGCATTCTGCGGGATGAGATTGTTAATCCCCTTCGAAAGTGAGTAGAGCATGTGGGAATCCTGGAAGTTGTCTGTCCGCCTTTATACCTTCTCTGCTGCGCTGTCAGACGATACCTGTCACTGAGGGAAGGGGTTACCTGGAGGGGTTTCTCTTGTCGGCCACATCCAAAGGTCTTAACATCAGGTTTCTTTTCCAGTTCGTCCCTTCCCCAGGTTGGGAGACTTTCATGACTCCTGATGCATGTCCGTGAGTTTCCCCTGCTTAGACTGAAGCCTTGTGAGCTGCAGTTCTCAGTGAGAGGACAAAAAGGGGATTCCTGGGGTTCAGACCATCTCTGGGGGGGAACCCTGCAGCTGATGAAGCAGTGGTGTTGCCTTCATCAGCAGTTAGTCCCAAAGGCAGCATGCAGTGCCAGGCTGGATGAGAGCAGATCATGGCATGAGAGCTAAATTCTCTGGACTTTGTATCAAAGATACCAGGTTCTTTCCTCATCCTCGCTAGAGAGGTGTGGAAGAGGGGTATGGAGAGCTGACTGAACATAAGACATGAGCATCTTCCTTGAGGAGCAGTGTCCTGGCACTGGCTTGCAGAAATACAACCCTGGGGTGTTCTGTGATGCTGAGATTCAATTGAGAGCAGCCCTGCCGAGGACTTGGGGGTGCTGGTGGATGAAAAGCTGGACATGAGCAACCAGTGTGTGCTCACAGCCCAGAAACCCAGCCGTGCCCTGGGCAGCATCTCCAGCAGCGTGGGAACAGGGCGAGGGAGGGGATTCTGCCC